CTAGCGAACAGGAAGAGGATGATATGAGAAACGCGAAAAAAACTGAAGCGCAGGTAAATCGATTAAGAATGTCTTATCAAATATCGATACACATACATATTACATTTACTTTCTGACATACTTCGGTTGTGACAAGCGAATGTCTAAACAAAATATTAAAATATTGCCGGTACAATAATTGATTAAGTTAGTGGTTAAAGCATAACGCTATAGCGTGTTGTGCGTAGATGTAATGTTTCGCAATTATGTGCTGGCGTATGCCACAAGCAGCATAAGCCAATTAAGGCTTAAGCATGTTCCGCATGCTGTTCGATACAGTTCTTCAAATCATAAATTAAACATTTGCCCATTAATTATTGATAAAATCAAAGCCTTTTATTATAATTTGTACCCGTTTATGCATTTAATTACAATATTTTTTCTACAATTTTTTTTTTTTTTCTAATCAAATGCATAGCGCACTCAATATGCAAACGTTTTTGAAGAGATGATGAAATAAAAAAAGTCGTAACATTAGATTAATTTTTTTTTTTCGTATTTTTTTAATAACAAAGAAACTGGTTCTGCTAAGATTAATGCATATTCTGTCGTTATATAATTTCTGTTACACTTTAAATTATAATAAATCAAAACAAATTACTTGCGGATAAAGAGAAAAAAAAATAATATTCTCAGAGGCGCTTTAACATTAACTGCTGGTTCTTTTTAAATGCATTCGAAGTTAACCATTCATTGTGCAATGTATAGCTATAATTATAGAGTTCGCTTGGCTATCGATTTTTAATTTTATTCACATATATAAGTAAAGCAAGTATTTCGAAGCAAGTCTTAATACTCGCTAGCTACCTCTGATGAACACATGATAAGTCTTTTCTTTTTTTTTTTTAAACTAATATTAGTTATGCCCAAAAATTAATCGCAATTGTTATCTTGATTAAATATCTGTAAGCCCTGAGCTTATTAATTTGTTTAAAATTGAAATATACGGTGTCATGCGTTTTTTCTTTTCAATAATTGAGGTTTACAGCTTTTATATGCATACTTATAGGCGTTATTAATATGGAAATCAATTCAATAAGTAATTTAGTAGTAAGCAATTTCAAATATTTTTAGGCCGTCTTTCACATATCTTAAGCTATAGTCTGTATACTGTAGTATATAGGACCACAGTTAAATACTCCACGCCACTCTGCATCTATTCATGTAACAATTTTTCTATGAGAAGCAGCCGAAAGGATGGTTCGATTCGAGCCATTTGAGTTGGCGGAACAGGCGGACAGACAACCTGAGATCGATTCAGAATTACTTTCAGCACAATAAACGATAGGTTTGCCTCAAATGCGTCTGCCTGTTGCATACATCCTTAAAGATTTAATACACCTTTGTGCCACAAATGATGTAGGTTATAAACAATAAATAATAATCCGATTCGAGATTGGACAGACAAATACTGCTAAGTCAAGACATTACCTGCATACAAGCGTTCTCCGATGTCTATGCACTTCTACGTATTACAAACATATTAGGAAACATATTACATTTTAATCTTTCGATTGACACAAAAGTCTCGATAGTAATTTATGCGTGTCCGCGCCTTATTTATTACGCTTTGCGTGCTGTTGTCAAATAATGCCGTTACAATGTATCTTGTATTCGTTTCTTATGTTTCGAATCGTTGCTATGCTTTCAACTTAAAAAAAAAATAAATCAATTTTGCATTGAAATCTTTTTGATTCAATTTTTTTTTCACTTTTTGGAAACATAATTTTTAATTCAATAAAAATAAAAAAAAAACAAATCTAATAACGATTTCTGTAATCAAAATAATTAAGAGCACATATATAAGCAGCTTTAACTTGTTACATGGACTAAACATGCGATTGATTCATTTAGCGTTGTATAAGTTGAAAAAAAAAAAAAAAAAACAAATTAAAAACCAGAAATAATTTATAATCGGCTTAGGACGAATATCTTTACACCCACCCAGGCTAACTAACTGATATGCGATATTTAATTAAAAAACGGATCGCATATCATGTTATACATGTCCCACATCTTTTAAACTGCATTTTTATTCCATTTGGCATCATTTTGTACATTTGTACTATAATACGAACCAAAAATCACTTTCTTAAAGTTTTTTAAAAATTGTAGGTAATTCCATAGTTTAATTGAATCGATTATCAATTTTGATTTTTAAGATTTGAGAAATTTTATTGAGGAAAAATTTAAGATTAAATTTAAATCTCTAGATTAACATTTTTTTACAAGCAAGGCCATGTGTGCATGCGTACCAATGATCTGATTTTGTTGATTTCCAAACTTAATTTAACGACAGTGATAGAAATATATATGTTCTTCTTCTTCTTCAATATAGTAATTGTAATTAAAGGAACAGACACGGCCTTCGCACGGCCCGTATGCCATACAAACATTTGCCATATATAATTTATATAGCACGTAGAACTTCCCTTGAATATTTCTATATTTTTTGTTAAAAAAAAGAAAAGAAAGGTGGCCCCAGCTACGCTTCAAATAAAAGTTCGTACTTTCCGTGCGCAATACTAAAAGTAGTTGAAAGTAGAGATAAAAATGTTCCAATCCAGCCAATTTAAGATAGTCTTCGCAACATGTCACCGTAAGAATTTCCTCAAAATATTTCGAAAATTTTTACCTGCATACACAATATAAACAAACATCAGGCCCGACCAGATCTAGAAGGAAACTGTGAGTTGGGTATAAAAATATCTAAGGGGAATTTATATGATGTCGTTTTGGGGATTACATACATCCATCCGCAACATATCGGATATATTTACAAGTGGTATGTGGTATAACATAAAATTAAGGTACGACTTAATATACGTATGTAACAATCCATTAATAGTAATAAAGCGGTGAGAGCATAGGACACGTTAGTTATTACTTTGTTCTCCGTAAGAAAAACTGTTACTTCCAGAAAAAAGGATTTCTAACTATTAACTACTGATCATAAAAAGTGCAAGTAAAAATATTCGAATTAGGTAATGCCTCTATTAAGTACCCTATAATCCTACACCTAATACAATTTTTCAACTATCTTCATAGAATATTATACGCCACATAAAGTCTAACTTTTCGAAACCTTACATGGGTAGCATATTTTTTGCTTTCATATATTGACTTTTTGGAAATTGCCCGTCAGATGAAAATGCCACATGTGTTTCTGAAAATGCTGCCACCAAGTCCAAGGATAATGTTTATCCCACCACACATGTTAGTGTATCAAATTTCATCATATACATTTTACGCAAAAATACTCCTGACCAAATTAACACAGTCGGACTTGTACGTTAACCCTTGATTTCGAAGCTGATGAGCTATCTGTCCTTCTTTTTCCCTACAATGATGTGCTCCATCCATCTAATACTATTATAAAAATTAATGCACTTTGCATTTCCTTCTCAAGAAGTACGATTCATCCTTATACTCTAAAATATAACAAAACACTCACCTCCTTCACCGTTCACATGAAAAAGCTACTAAAGCAACATAGAGGCTCTCAACTTTTTACTGCAAGAACTAACTCAATGAGTTACTGGAAATAATTTTCAACTGAGTGTAAAAACGTTGCGTGGGCTTTGTGGAAGCTACCTTTTACAATTTCGGTGGCATGACACTGAAACATACACCTATTAAACGACAAAAAGTTCGAACTCTCTATATGCGGCGTGGATGTCTTGATCAATTAACGGTTGACCATATCTCAAGCTTGAAAAGGAGTGCAACCCCTTGACAGACATAGATCAATCAATTTTGAAAAATCTTACAATTCTTAATGAGGCGTAAATTTTTCCAATAGCTTACCATATACTTAAAGGTGCAAATATGAGCATTGGATGGTAGATGTTACGAATCGTATTTCCCACTTCCGTTCAACATTTTTTTTACTAGAGAAATGAAAAATTAAATTAAAAGCGATTCTTCAAAATAAGAAACTAAAGCAAAAAATTATTAACTCATTTTATTACAACAAAACTCAGAAAGCTAATGCAATAATTTATGAAATACATAAATACATACAAATGTAATATTTAAGACGATTTATTCTAGAATAGCAGCAAGTTGTTCTTATCGACATTTTGTTACAACAAAAAAGAAAAAAAAAACAGCTACTATTATTTAGTTTATTGAAATAATTAAGAAAAAAAAACTAATTTCGAAACTTAAAAAAAGAAATTTGAAAAACAGTAAATAAAGAAATGATTAAAACTAAATATTTTTCCAAAATACTCGCTTACTTTAAATCGCGCGGAGAGTAAAAAAAAATTGAAAAATATTGCGAAACTTTTAACTAAAAGACTATTCAAGAGTGTTTTTTGTCTTTTCTCTTAAATTGTATGCTTCGTAAATGTATTAGTTTATTCAGGTTATCGAAAAAAAAAAAAATGTTTTGATCTTTTGTTTTGTTTTTTAATCATGAACAGTAATTAGATACACACAGTTATTTTAGTGCAAGAAACAACTTTGCTTCAGTTTCGGACATGCAGCGTTGTTACTGGAACAACCGAAGTTCTTAAAAACATTTTTTTTTTCTTTTTTTTGTTTTAATACATTACAGACTTACTATCGCTACAATGCGCGCCCATCCACATGTAATAAATCATTGTTTTGAGAATTTCAATAAATCTTTCTTTAACTTAAAAAGAATTAAAATCACTTTCACGCTTCGTGTGAGTGCATAAAGGAGTGGTTTTTCTATTAGCGCTATTATTTAGCTACATTTGAAGTAAAAAACAGGACAAAAAAAATTATGTTTTTATTTGTTTTCCATGACTTTGTATGGAGTTCGACGTACGAAAACTACCAAATTGATTATTGCGTTGATAACGATTTTCGCACGCTTGTGTGGTGTACTCGATTAACGACTGTTATTAAATATATAACCGATACTACCTTTATAATGTTTGTGTATTGTTGTAAACTTATGAATTTATGTATGGGTTCTTCTTTTATTATTATTGTTATTATTTTAATTGGATTTATCATTTTTTGTTTCTTTATTATATAATAAAATAATGATTCACACACACATTTAGAGAAATTATTCAGCAGCAGCCAGATTTGGTACTCTCCACTGGACGACCTTGATCGATTTTAACTTTGCTTGTATTATCGGTGGCACTTGAAGGCGGCCCAACCCGATTCTTAATTTCGGCCGCCATTGTCATGAACGCCTGTTCCACATTTGTGGCACTTTTAGCTGAAGTCTCTAGGAATGGAATGCCTAATTGATTTGCATACTCCTACGAAACAAGCATTAAAAGTTTTTAATTAAATAATAATCTTGCAAGAAAACGTGCAGGCAAAAGTTCTTGAAATACTAACGGCAGCTGTGGTATGATCCACCACTTTTTTGGTAGTTAAATCGCTTTTGTTGCCCACGAGTAATTTGTTAACATTTTCGCAAGCATATCGTTCGATTTCTTCAAGCCATTGCTTAACGTTATTAAAGGATTCCTGATCCGTACAATCGTAGACGACAATAATACCATGGGCTCCACGATAATACGATGACGTTATAGTACGGAAACGTTCTTGGCCAGCGGTATCCCACTAAAAAAAAAAAAGAAATGGCAAAAGAAAAAGACAGGAAGCGTTTATAATTAGTATTGAATTTTTAAATCTTATTTTCATATTTAACTTACAATTTGCAACTTAATGGTTTTATTATCCAATTCTATGGTCCTAATTTTCTATCAAATGATAAAATATTAAAGAAACATAAATTACTCTATAAATTACTTTAACTTAGCAAATGCGCTTACAAAATCTACACCAATTGTACTGATGTAACTTTCTGTATATGTGTCGTCAGCAAATCTCAATAAAAGACACGATTTTCCAACACCTGAATCGCCGATCAAAAGTAATTTGAACAAATAGTCGCTGAAAAGAGAAAAAATAAATAATTCACTATATTGGATTTTCACTATTTTATGTTAATCCGAAGCGGTAAAGAATGAAAATTAGTCGTTAATAATTTACTTAATTCGAAAATTAGGAAGAACATTAAAACAAGAAAGAGCACTAAACATTATCATAATAAATGATAGGAAAGAAAAACTTCCAAATTTATATGATCGACCCTTTCGTACCGTACGCCACTTTTCATACAATTATGTTAAGTGCGTACAAGACTTTTGAATGGAACGATTCATAATCAAATTCTGAGTCGATTTAAGACTGTTTGTTCGCTTGTTCGCTCCCTAATTTTTGTATTCGCATATCGTTACCAGAATCGGATCGGAACCTAAGTCTACATTCATCCCGCTTACAAAGCGGGCAGAGAGAAGCGGTAAAAGCCTATATTAATTATTTTTGAAAGTTATCTATAGCTTGTCAAGCTTGAACAATTATTCTTAGCAGCTATTGTCTCTTTTCAAACCTTACTTGTAGCTATTAATTGAGAACCTATTTGCCAAGTTCCGCTCTTCTATTTCAAATTTAGTAAGAAATTTAACAAACATTAGAATTTTACACAAAACAGTCAATGCATTCTTTGATACATATTCCGGCTTTTTGCCATTATGTCTAAGAAGTCCAGCATATTCAAAAGAGATAAACGAAAAACATAATGGGAAATAGTGTAAAGTTAGCGTACGAAGCACTTTCAAATAATTCAATAATGTGAAATGAAATTTTTCTGCGTTTTACATTTCCCCAATGTTTTTCTAATCGCCTTCAAGGACAATTTTTGCGGAAGCCGTTATAATGCCGTTATAATCTTTTGCTTAAGATTTTTTGTAATCGTGACTTGACGCAATGAACAGCAAATTTCTTAGTTTCTTTTTTTTTATGGTAAATCCCTTTATATGAAAACTAGATTTGTCTGTCTTAATATTTTGAATTTGGAAATCTTATCTAAAAAAAAGTCAAAAATGATGATAAGTCGAAATTTAAAAGAATTATGTAGCGATTAAAATACTATATTAGAGAGAATAAGTTCAAACTGTTTAATTGGACGATAGGATGGAAAGAAATTTGACTTTAGTCACATACGAAAATTGATTATAATTGCATGGAAATTCATCATAATCATTTGGCGATCATTTGTTGTCAAATGATCGCCACGTCCACTTTGCACATCCCATAAAGAGACGGTTTCAAAATCTTTGATTACGCCACTCCCTTCCGATGAAAAATGGACAAGTTTTAAACAATTAAAATCTTACAACAAACAAATTTTGACGCACACTCTGACGAAGATCAATCTCAAAAATTGTCCGCCTACGCTATAAGGTAAGTGAATTCTGAATCAATGAAAATTATAGAAATCGAGATACTTGGAAAACGTTATTTTCCACTAACAGACTATAACTTTCTTCAATTTTGGTCTGCAAACTTCAATTAGGAATATGATTACAAAGCTTCCAGTTCACAATCGAACAAATCAAGATCATGTAGATTTTCTAACTTTATGTGACATCCCTCAACTCTGTTTATCTATGTATTTCACAAATGAAGTAACAAAATTAGTATATAGCTCATCCCTTGGTGAAATTGCCTTCATTAGCGTTATAACGTAAGGGAAATTTGCTACTTATCGTCAAAATTCTCACACCATGCGGAAAAAGCCTTAATTTCACATTTTTCTTGTTTTGTTTTCTAATATTCTAAATTAAAATCATACGTTCGCATATGAGCAGAGCAGCAACTACCAGAAGACCAGCATTTGAACACGCGAATAAAGACATGATGTTATAATAATAACTTAGAAATACTAATAACCTCTTACTAAAAACAAAGGCGATAATATAAGCAAACTAAGCAATTGAAATTATGTTCACAACTCTTCGTTGGATATTGTTTAAGATAAGCCGTTAACCCTTTAAACTACAATAAATAGCGTTAATACCGCTCCTTAGCTAAACAAATTATTGGAAAATTAAATCAAATAAATAAAATATGTAAACAAAAGACCAAAAAAAAAAAAAAAAAACAGAACAAAAGAAAAAGAAGAAACGACGCAAATTGTTGGAGAGGAAAACAACACCGACCGACACTTGGAAAATTAATAAATAATGAGTAATTACCTACGTAACTCAGAGACATATATATGTAAATATGTGAATGAACGTGTGCTTTACTAAAATATATATATATATATATCATAGCAAAGAATTGAGAGACCAAACAAAAAAAAATATAGCAATACGAAACTATGTAGATGTAAATCCGTGACTCATCCGCCCCTTTTAATATAAAGCTGGTGGCCTGATGATTGTTTGAGTGCAGCCGTTGTTAATGTGGTTGTTAACGTTAGCATTACAATTGTAATATGGTTAACTGCACTCTTTTAAGCAAGTTAAAGCGATCAAAGTTTATTAAGGAGCCAAACGATAAATGGCCTAAACAATCATATGAAAAAGCAAATAAAAAATAAATATTAACCCCCCGGGGGGGCCTCCCACCCAACGGCCTAGGAATTATAGAATAGAAGACAAAAGAAAAACAATTGTGTATGTATATACAAACAGCAATGGTCTGGTGCTATAAAAGTTGAGACCTTTGCGAAAAGGGAGTGTGCAACAAAAAAAAAATTTGTAAAAATGACGTATGACGTCGCATAAAATTCTCATTTCTTATTATTGGCCCTTTTAAAAGCGAACATAATCACGTCAATAATGAATTTATTAGTTTTTTGCACCAAAAAACTTACTATTCTGGATTTATTGCTGACATTTTGTTGTGTTTCGCTTTTTCTTAATGGAGAAAAAAACCGAATTACGGACCTTTTTTTCAACACACAATTACTATTTTATTTATTTATTTTTTGTATTTTTTTTTTATAAAAGTTCTCGCACTTATTTATTTCTTTCTTTTTTTTTCTTTTCTTTGTTTCTCTTCTTACTTTGCACAATTCTTGCAAATCACATATCACACTAATGATTGTTTGACGTGGACAATTTTGTTCGCTTTTTATCTTCGTACAATTAACTCACAACAATGTTGACAATATTAATTAGTTTCAAAAATGTAATTTTTTCTTTATTAAATATCATTAAGAGAAGGATTATCATAAAAAATCTTGTAACTTTATGCCAAAAGCAAATTTTCTTCAACAAAAGATGGCGACGATTCACACATCACCGTCAATAGCTAGTTAGTTATGTGTAACAGCATTCGATAAATCACTCTCTAACTGTACCCTAAGAGTACCGTAATCGATATTACACTGAAAATTAAAATCTTATCGCGCTTTACTTAAACATTACAACATGTAACATTATTCTTTGCTCCCCTACAATAACTTTTCATTTCAAGTCAATTGTATTAATTTTGCTTTAAATAATTATGTTCTAATTTATTTATTTATTTACATAGTGTAGTACTTCTAAATTGTCCCCAATTCTAAATGGAATCTAGAGTCGGCTTTTTCTGTGAACAGGTTTCGTTTTTGTTGCGTTGCTTTTAACATATCTGGTAACATATCTGTTAACGTATTTTGTTACTACTTACATTTTTGAGGCATCTCTATTGCTTGACAAAACTTGGTTGTATTTTACGAAAACCCCAACTAACGGTTTCTTCATGGCAAACCAAACAAATTGCAAGGTTGTGAGGGGAATAGTTTCATAGTTATTGCAGAAAAGTGAAAGAAAATTTATTTAAGAAAAGCTTAAAAAAAAAGAGAAAACAATTCAATTCAAGAAGGGAAATTTTAGAAATACAAATCTTACAATCCAAACATTAGAAATCCAAAATCTATCAATCACTTTACATCATAAACGGGAGTCAATTTTTTTAATGTTCTTGTTATTTTATTCTTTTGCGGTTTTAAAAATTTGGTTAAATGAAATTTTTTATGTGTTTTGTTTGTTTATTTAATCATGGGAAAAAAATTTGTGAATTCCGAAAAAAGAGAGTATTTGAAAGTATTGGTTCTTTATGCACAAAGGAAGAGGCTATATCTATTTTTCTAAGAAATGGAAGTTTTTTGAAAATATAAAAATCAAATGGAGATCCAATTTAAGGAGTGATATTTGGACGGTTTTATAAACGTGGATCAAACAGGAGAAAAAAGAGGCCATGTTTCTTTCAGAAAGTTTCAGAATGACATTTAAATTGATTATTCCATTAGGCTTTTTCTTGTTTTTTCAATTTTTTACAATAAGTCTGTTTTACTATATATATATATATGTAACATATGTTCCATAGAAAATATTAATGTGTAAAAAATGTAAAAGAATAAAAATAAATAAAGTTAAATTTAATAAAAAAAAACAATACTCTATTTCACTTATATCTATATCTTAAATTTAAAGTAATATAACTAGATATAATATGACATTCATTTTTTTCAGGTTTATCGTTCCAATTATACTATGATATATATTATATTATTATTTGTTTGTATTATTGTTATTATACATATTATGTTATTATTATTTAGATCTATTTATATTATATGTTGTATTATATTATTAATAACTATCTGCACATCCGGTTTCCTTTAGTAATATTTTTGAAATCATCATAAACTGGAAACAACTTTATTACCTATCAGAAATGCTTTTGACGAACAGCTGTTTCTTGTTGTTTGTACGTAGAATATCTTCTTCTTTTTTCCTTCAATTTTCACTTGTTTAAAAACAGTAAATGGGTGAACTTCGAATTCGGTCTAAAAAAAAGGAGAAGTAAATGAGCGAATTTTGAATTTGGTCAAAAAAAAGAAGTAAATGAGCGAACTTCGAATTTGGGCAAAAAAAGGTATATATAAATGTTACAACGCCTTCATTTTGATTGTTCAAAGTTACAACGAAAGAAGTTTTTTTAAAACTTAATTTTAAAATTGGGCGCGATTTCCTTCGAGATTTTGTGCGGCGTTTTTAAAAGCTAGGTTTCGAGTTTAGTTAAATTAATAATTCGAAACGGAAAACTTGCAGAGCAATTAAATATATTGTACCTTCACCCATGATGTAAGCTTGCTTTTAATCTTAAAATCTTAAAATCGCCTTAAATCTTAATTTTCACCGAGCGTAACTTTCTTACTTCCATTCTAAAGTAAGAGAGTACGTGAGAGCATGTGCTTCCTTCCTATACGCACAACTATTTAGTTGCGTGTCGGTTTATTCTTAATTTATACACAACTATTTAGTTGCTGAAATTGGTAAGACAGGAGGGACAACCGAACTTAAGTCGACTCAGAAAATGCATCTGAATCTATTGGTATAAGAAAATCTGAGTCTAAGAAAAATTATCAGTAAATTAAGTATATTAGACAGTTAGGTCTGAGGATTATTTATTATGATTTGTTTTGTAACCATTACCGTGGAATACTTTAATGCTAATGTATGTCGAGGTAGATAAGAATTTTCAATACAAAATCAACTTCAGAGAAGAGACGCGTAGCTCAGTCAACAGTTTAGATTTTGTCAAAATTATTCAAATCAAAAGCTCGAGGTATCATATAAACTGCAATAAATGCATAGATGACCTTTATTAAGGATATTAACTTTCCGCTTGTAGTTTGCATTGTCTTAATGTATTATGTAATGCTTTGATTAGACAGAAATGTGTACTATTTCAATGAAAAAAGACCGAACGCAATCTTCCAGTTGAACTCACATATTTATAACCAAATGCTTATCCGTTAAGAAACGCAGTTTGGAGAACTTCGTGGAGGTAATTGATGAATCAATTTATTTAACATGCATTAACACTAGATATTTAGTAATGTCAGATTAAATATTTAGGACAAAAGCTATGGCAGAACATTAAAATCTTTAACGTACCGGGATCGTTCCATATCATCCTTTAGACGATCTCTTTTGCAAACATTATGCAAATGCCTGCGGTTTATAAATTTTCTTTTTTTTTTTCTCAAATTCACAACAAGAACTATAAGATAAACTTAAAAGAAGATTACATATACAGACAGTGAAAGTTCCAACTCTTGTTTGGAATGTTATTAAAAGTTCTAAATATATATTTACTCCAATGAATTCAACGTCAATAATTGCTTTAAAACTTTGGTTTGTGACGTCTCGCGAATCTCCCCAGCCAAAAACATTTCATCTACAACCGTATAAACCTTATAAAAATTAAATACCAAATCTAATTCGCACACATTATGGAAATATTCGTTGAGAACTTCTACAAAATTATGTATGGCCTCCAGATAGCAAAGATTATTATCGTTTACATCAACGCATATGCAAAAATAAAGGCCCGCATAACGCCGGTAAACAATCTTAAAGTTGCGAAACTGGAATAAATTTTATATTATTTTATTTCTAATTTCTTCTCATTTGTTTATACCGACTCACCTCAACAAAATTGGTATGCTTGGCGTCACGTACAGTGACCACAGCGTGAACTTCCTCAATAAGCTTCTGTTTTTCATCATCATCAAAATTCATGTACCATTTCGCTAAGCGTGTCTTACCAGCTCGGTTTTGTATCAAAATAAAGCGAATCTACGTAAGGCAGAAAACACATAAATTTCTTGTTACAAGAAAGGGGGCGTCCTTTTACCATTTTTCTTAAATAATTTTCGAAAATATTTTTCCTTTTTTACAATATCATTCACTGGTATTCTGTGGACTTGCCATATAATATAACTGTCAACTGTCATGATTCACGTACGGTTAGTACAAACGAAAAATTCTGTGCCATTTCCTTTCATGTTTACACAAAAAAATTATCGTTTCATTACTAAAATCACAAAAACATAAGCTAACGAGATTACCATTCAGTTTATTTTAAAAAGCAAATATTTCGTATACTGTGTTGCTATATTGTGTGTAATCCCATGTCATTTTCCCATTTTAACTTCTCATGGAACGTTTGACAATTGAGTGCTTCTATAACTCCATGTTGTTTGTTTGCGTCTTGAGAACTTCACCGATAGAAAAACCTGCGGGCATATTTGCTTAAATTTAATAACACTTTGGCATCGTTCCATTCCGTTCAGTTGGTTAATGCAAGACAAATATAATCAGTCGTAGAGCGATATTGTACTCTCGTCTAATAAAATGTTCGGCAGTCTAGTTAGAAATCTCAGACATCGTTTGCCGCAGACCAGAACATGCTACGTCTCAATGATGGCAAAAAAAAATGACACTGAAATTAAAGTATTGGATGCTCTGCAGGAGCAAGCTTTAAAGGAACAATGTATATTAGTAAATGAAAATGACGATGCTGTAGGATTCGCATCAAAAGCAAGTTGTCATCGAGTGCGTAATGACACCAAAGAAGTTAAATTACATAGAGCATTTTCGGTTTTTCTTTTCAATAGTGCCGGTGATATGTTAATGCAAAGACGATCTGAACAAAAAGTAAGAATCTCTGAAATTTACATATCAAGCAAAATTATTGCATTGACCTTATTTAGATCACTTTCCCCGATATGTACACAAACGCTTGCTGCAGCCATCCTTTATATGATATAGAGGCGGAACGTGTGGCGACAAGTGCACTAGGAATACGTAAAGCGGCCCAAAGGAGATTAAATTATGAACTGGGCATTCCTATGGAACAAATTAGACCAGAATATTTTCATTACTTAACACGAATCCATTACAAGCATACGGGCGATGGTGTGTGGGGTGAACACGAAATCGACTATATTTTATTTCTGCAGCAAGATGTAGATTTAAATCCCAATTTGAATGAGGTCAGCGAAATACGTTACATTAAGCGAAACAACATCGATGAGGAAATTAGAAAGCTACAAGCACCTTTGACACCGTGGTTTGAACTGATATTAAAAGAACGCTTAAAGATCTGGTGGGATAATTTAAAAAATCTAAATAAATTCGAAGAGCATCATGTTATTCAACGTTTTTTGTAAAATGCAAAAAGGAATAAAAAAAAAATATGTATATATATATATATGGCATTGAGCTTGGTCCGACTGTTTTTTTTTTTTTTTAATTAATGGCTTTTCAGGATTTGCAAAAGTCTGAAGAAGTACGATATAACATGTAAAAAATTTGTGCATCATTAAGGCAAAATTGAGATATAATCAAGATAATTGGAAATGGAAAGACCTAAGCTGTATATCCCGTGAAAGAAAGAGTTGGCTATCGTTTACAAACAAAATTCAAACCAAGGTGTGTGTACGAACGAAATTTGTATTCCTCCACAACCAATAATAAATTCGATTTTGCCCAATGGAGAAACTGCTCGCAAAAAGCAACAGTATTTAGCTCACGATCATGGTGGATATGCGACTCCGTCTGCGACCAAAGCGTCAGTCTGTCCGTCTGTCTGCAAGTCTGTCGACTGTCAGTTAGTCAGTCAGTCATTCAGTCTAATAGTCTGTCTGCAACTCTGTCGGTCTTTCAGTGTGTCCGTCAGTCTGTCCTTTATTCAGCATCAGAGGAAAATATTATACAAACTCGTTTAATTCTCTCTACGTTGGTTTTAGACAATATTTCAACTTTGAATTTTTATTTAGATTGTGTTGTGAATTTCGAAATTCAAATAGTTGATAAACTTAACACAATTGCCCTGCAGCGAGTTCAGTAAAAAGAGCGCAAACTGAACTGTATGTTTATCTAAACGAAACAAAAGTGTTAAATTGCTTATTATCAGATCTACGGGGTCAAAAAGATTGACTTGCAAATTTTCAGTTATACAACTAGTTTTAAAAATTCTAATTAATCACAAACAACTTTATGCAGATGAAAGTAAGGTTGAAAATGTTTTGCAACAGATATAATTCGACATATTTTTTATGATGACCGGGAAGTGATAAAATATATGCTTTTTATAGCTTCATTTTGTTTCTTTTATCGAATTCGCTTTCGTAATCATCGCCTTGATGGATATTAATATATAGACAACTAATTTTATGCAGTTTTCCCATTTTATTAACAAAATAAATGTTTACAATATTTGTTTTGAAATTCCTATTTGTTTAATTAGTGGACCTTCATTTATATTTCTATATATATTTGTATATAACAATTTGTTTTTTAAGGCGTGACGGTATGTAAAACGCGTGCTTATATGGATATATATGTTTATATGAACCCTTTACTAACTGCTATTCAAATACACAGATTAATAAAAAATATATATGTGTAACCATATTTCTATATATGTTTATAAGTGATCACAATTTCATTCTTAAGATCATGCAACAAGATAGTATAATATAAAAAATGTTAATTTTTTTTTTTTTGTATAAATATGGACGATATATATATATATATATATATATTAATATGTAGACTTCAAGGCACACACATTTTTATAGTTATATAAATAATCAAATATGCGAAAAGTGATATTTATATATTCATATATAGAGTATATGTAGAAGTACGCTTACTATTAGAACACAGCAAAAAATGTAAAGAATATGTATCTTTGTATCTATAACGTATAATGTTTAAATAGAAAAATACAAATAAATATATACATAAATTAACAAAAATATATTTAGAAAAAAAAAAAATGGTAGGCAAAGCTTCGCATAAAAAAGCAAAAAATAAATAAATAAAAAAAGCGCAAATAAAGCCAAGAGAGTAGCAAAATATTTAATTTAAATTAATAACTGATTGATTTTTAATTTATTTAATGATGATTATAAACTTTTCTGGCAAGTCCATTAGACTTTTAATTCAGTTTAATTTCTTGTCAATTTCAGAACAACTTGTACAACTTAATGATTTATAATCTCCCACTCTCCATATGCAACTTCACTTTAATTCAATCAAGCTATGCTGAACGTTCAATTCACTTAATTCTCTATGCGAAAGTTAAATAAATAAATCTTTATCATATCGATTTCTCATATTAAGCGAAGTGAAATTTCGTTTAAAGATTCACTTTCTATTTATAATGATTTGCGTTTATATGTATATATACATATATATATACATACGTATAGGTATAATAGGTAAATATCGCTTTGAATCGTATTTTAGTTAAATTAATTCAAAGCGTCGTTAAAAAAATCAATTCGTGGAGGTAAAGCTGATGCCATTAAAGGAGTAACAAATAATGGTTGCTGTTAATCATGAGCGTATTTTTAAGGCACCTTTTTCACTCTTCTTTCTTTCGTTATATACTGATTTGTTTTGTTTAGTTTCATTTCTTTAACAAAACTAATATGTATAGTTTGGCACTTAGTGTAATTGTTCAATGTTAATTTTATACTAAAGCATCACCGTTATTGTTTCAGAGTGTTCATCACGTTGTAAACTTTCGAAATTTAAGAGAGACCGAAGAGTTTTAAAGCGTTAAAAGCTGTAGCTAAAGCCACTTCGTCCGGCGTCTTCTTCATAAAGGCTGCTATCATTTCCACAATAGCTGGCAATGAACAGGGTTCATTACGTTGAAAGGTACAATATCTGCAAGTAAAACAAGGTAAGCAAATAATAATAATAATTTGAAATTTTATTTCATACTAATTGATATTTTATGGCTGCAAAGTATTTACGGAATACAAACTTGCCGCGAATAAATATCGTTTTTTAAGAATAAGTTTTGAGAATTTGTAACTGTTTATGAATTGCTCACTGAATTCAATGCAGACGAGAGAAAAGATGACAATTCAATGTAATTAATGAAATGAAAATTAGGTGTCGCGTCCATGGTCGCACAAAACAATTAAAATCATTTTCAATTTGAATAAGGTTTTTACGGACACTATTTTTCTGTGCATTCTTCTAGATGTTGCAAGTCTCAAGATATTAAAATTTCTGTAAAAATTAAACAATTAAGGATTTTCTAGAATGAATTCAAAACAAGTCAAACATTTTTGCACGTTTATCCTGACTCAGTCCCGAAACTTAATAAAAGTCTCATTTAATTGTACGACTATTAACAAAAGTAAACTTTAAAGTAGAATCTGAACGCTTACATTACTTTAATTATATATTAAAATAATTTACCTGTGCAAGTAGAGCAAAGAACGTTCGGTGATGCCAGTCTTAACATGTTGAGGCAATTTGGAAGCACGTGTGTTCGGATACATAAAAGGTGAATCTGTTTCGACCAATAAACGATCTAAAGGTAAGGTTCCATTATCTAATAGACGTCGCACGCCGGTATCTGATTTGTCCTTTTCGTTGAAATTGCATTAAAATTATTGTGGGTATGCATTATTATGTGCACGAGCGCAATTAATTTAAGTACCTTGCATAAATAACCAGTTAAACTAATGTAGAACCTTCTATCTAGATATTTAAGGGCCTCCTCAGCTGTACCCATAAAACTCCTTATAATCACTGGGGGCAAATTCTCAAATCTATGAACAATAATTATGTGGTAAAAATCATGTCCAATATTCAAATTTCATCTTAGTAGATACTTTTCTAATATATCGAGTACATCTTGTTGAGCTGAACGTTCGTGAATAAGAACAGCTTTACCCAGATTGCTAGCCAGTAGTAATTGTTTTTCGAATATTTCTTTTTGTACCTCGGGTTCAGAGAAATCACGTAGATAATCCAAACCGCAAGGACCAATTGCCACACATTCTTGCGAGTTGGCGATCTGTTCGAAATCGAACCAACTACTGGGATCTTCGATGATCGATTTGGAGTCATGTGGATGTATGCCAGCAGTCGAGTATATAATATCAGGATAGATGCGAGAGAGACGTAGAGCTTCTTTACTAGAGCGCACTGATGTACCGGGAACCATAATTTTTTGTACACCTTAAATTTAAAAATTAATAAATATAAATTAGATGTGGTCTTACCAAAGGATGAAGGGCACATCAAATAAACGAATAGTCGTTTGTAGATAGAAAATATATGAAACGCCTACCCAAAAGGCGACGCCCTAATTCATGTACATTTATGCATGCGCATAACAGCAATGGTTTATGCTTAGTTGTCATACTTACCAGCATCTTTAGCTCTTTGAATAACGGAATCTAAATCTCGACTATATTTTTTATTTGTAAGATTAGCGCCTGCATCAATAACAATAAGATTTTCGAAACAATGCTCGAAAGTTAACGATGTAGACACCTCTTCTGCTTCGCTTACGCTAGATGCATTTGTGGCCGTTGTTGTTGTTGTTGTCGTTGTCGATTGGGCCATGGTTGACTGATCAGTTCCTTATATTATGTATAATTTGTCGAAATTATAAAGCAATTGGCACGTAACTCACTTTCAGTCTTTTGTTTCTCTCTCTCCAATTAAATAATACCTAACGATTGTATATACGCATAACATATATATTTATTTGTTGTCCGGATACCTCTTCTTTCCGTTTCTTCTTAATCTTTGCTTCTCTTTCGATGTTTTGCGTATGCGTTTTGCGTGTGTTTGTAATTTAATTAATAACGCAAATTATCTTTTTTTTTATTTTTATGAGTCAACTCGTTGAAAAGTATCTCTATTCCCCCTCGCAGTGCATTTCTTTTATATGAAATTTTAAAATAATTATTTAGTCGTTTTATCTTAAGCTTTAATTAATTATATGGTTTATTAATTTAATGAGTAAATTTTTGCTATATTATAAAGAAAATGTTAAAATTTACGAAATTTTAGAATATACCCGACTAGCTGGCCTAGTGTTGTAAGAATGTGTGTATGCTTAATGTCACTTTTCGGGGCAATGATTGCCGTATCTATATAATGTGGGAATAACGGGATTTATTTATTCAAGTAAACCTACATAAACACTTGAAAAAAATGCTCTTGTTTATCGGCTCAACTATTGTAGCTGTGAAGTGGGGCAGATTATGGATGAAAAGCGTGCACCAGGATCACCAGAATTAGTTAGGTTAAATAATTCCAAATTATTATCATCCCCATGTCTTTTCTATATACATATAAAATGACATTTGGATTTGAGTGGTGTAACCACCACTATGAGTTCCAATAGTTGCAAGATTACCTAGCAGTTGTAATATTCTAGTCTTAATAGGAAGAGATTATAAAGCGATTGGGTTCGCGAATAAGGTAAATAAACGAAACGGCCGTTTCCAGTTGTCCATCTGCTTTCATTTCAAAACGGGGCTGTGAGGACAAAAGTTTGTTTAGAACAACAAGCTTATTATCTCCTTCTGTACTTGTGGTGCCGATGTGCAAGGTTTGTGAAGAGGTACGCAAAACACAGAAAGACTTGAGGCCCAGAAAGACTTGTACCTTTTGTTATACCTATCACTTTAAACTTTTTTTTTTGGAATGGAATTGACGCTGTCTGTCCATTTTGCTATCTGATGTCTTATTCTATATATCTTGAGATGTTTTGGTTTAAGGAAAAGCCTTATTAGCAATGCGCCAAATCGGACAACTTTTGTGAGCATCGCCTATATAATTCCATTTTCAAAGGAATTTGTTATATAAAAGGAATTTTAAAATATTCAAATATTTTATATTTGGATGGAATGAGCATATTTTTTGAAACTTCCTCCCATATACACCTTTCTATGAACAATAAGCCTTTACTTGGCAACAAGGAAAGTTGGCTGAAATAGTGACTATCAATGGACCGTGCAGCGCTATTTTTCAGATTCCTTTCCGTAGATTATTTTTTATGAGCAATTAGCTTTTATTTGCAACAAGGGCTAATTTTTCACGAAGAATAACGGGTCTTTAACAAAAGCGGCTCCTTCCAAGCCACATTCCACATTAGAATTCATTCATCTCATTAGAACAACGCCTTTACATGACAATGAAGTATAAGTTCTTGGTATTTCACGATGATATTTGCGACTCAAGGAGCGAGAAGTTTCAGTGGAACACGTGAAGTGCGGACTATTTTTTTTTTATCTTAATGTCATTCCGTGGTGACATTTATCTGTTGAATTTTCGCTCGAATGAGAGCCGTTCATGGTTGACGATAGTAGGAACTACCTGAAAAAAAAGAAATATTGAACTCCTTAATGTAGGCAATGAATTTCGCATTTGTTATGTTAAAATAACTAGTTTTTATTGCATGAACTGTACTTTCTTTTTTACTACTCGAAAATCATTTTAACGAAAATTAAGCTAAACGAACAAACTCTTGGGAAATTCTCATTTATATCTTAAAAATGTTCCTTGTCCGAAAATATGATACACATTCTCATTTGTTTTCTCTCGTCCAAAGAAATAGTCCATAAAGACTTTGAATTGTTTTTTCGTCTGAAAATAGGACATAGATTTCGGATGTTTTGCTCAGCTGATAGTAAGAAAAAGTATTGAATATTTTCCCCACCCGAAAGTATACAACATATTTTCAAACTTGTTTTTACTTAAACTTGGAATTTCACAACTTGAGAGAGTAAGTAAATGAGCGAACTTCGAATTTCACAATGGTTTTATTGATATCTCTTTTGTATTGATTTGAATTTAAAATAAACATTTTTTTTTTGTTTTGTTCTTTTTTCTATAATTTTATTAAATTAATTTATTGTTGTTGTAGATGCTGCTTTTGTTAAAATTAGTTAATTTTCTCTTTGGTATCGTTGAAATTTAGTGATTATACATGTATATGTGTTTGTGTATGCGATGTCTGCATATAACAACAAAATGAGTTTTCTTTTAAATTAAATTTTTTATATAATAGTTTGTGATACATAAAAATTGTATTATGTTAGTATAGTTTTTAACAATACAAAGCAGTTTTGATTCCATTTTATTTATTAGATTTGGTGGCTAAATAGCATTTTGTTTTTGTTTTTGATTTTTTTTTCTTTTTTTTTTTTTTTAAAGGGCATTTGGTGGATGTTTTTGTGGATCATTTGTTATTTTTATAATATATTTAGTGAAGTGGGTTTTCTTTTTATTTATAATATTAAGCCCAATTTAAAAATTAATAATTTATTTACTTATTTTGGTGTTGAAAATGATAATCAATATATATATATATATATATATATATATATATATGTTAATAGTTTTTATTGATTACTATTTTTATATATATTTTTTAAAATTTTTTAACATATAATAGTTTATGCTTACGAACATATCTTGTAGGTATGTATAGGTATATAAATATTTATTGTTTTTAAAATTTATTTATTTATGTATTTTTTTTCTTCTAATCATTGTTATGTCATTCATTGATAGAGAGCTTTAAGCTTGTTTTTATAACACCCAGTGTTAGAAATTTCAAATTTCCTTTGTTTCTTTTTTTATTATATTATTATTTTGTGGGATTAGGGATTTTTTAAAATCCAATACATTTTTGGAAATATTACAAACTTTATATAAATATTTCTGTTTATGTTAAACTTATAAAATTCGTTTATATTATATGTATTAAGGTGTGTATGTATATATGTATATACATATATATGTATATATATGTTTATATATATATATAGACTAGAGGCTAAGTAATGTTAATTTTATCATTATTTTATTTGTGCTATATTTTGTGGTTTTTATCCTATTTAAATTTATTTTATTTTATTCTTTAACAAAGATTTCAGTTATATTATTATTAATTTTTTAATTTTGTTTTTTTTGTATTTTTGTGAGTTTTTTTTTTTTTTTACATAAATATTTATGTATATTTGGTTTCATTAGAACTCAAAATTTATTTTGAATATCTTTTATAAAACAACTTCGTGGTGTCCTTACTTTAAGTGGTATTTCTAATAAGCAAGAAAGAAGTTATATTCGCTTTAGGCCTATCATTACAGTTTTTGTACGGTATTTAATTCCAGCTTTTGTATGAAATGAAGATTCATTCCTTTGATTTATCGCTTATAGGGTTTTGCGTAGAACACATTACACTACGCTTTTCTACATACGACGTCTCATTGTAAAATTTATTTATGCATAGATTTCGTAGCCTTATTAAATTTTCGATCTTTTGTAGAAATTATAATAAAACAAGTAAGAAAATTATAGTCGGTCGTCATTGAATCGTCTATGGCCATTATTGTTATCCTAGAAAAGATTAAACAAAAAGGGAAGGACCTAAATTTTCATGCTCGACAATATTGGGAGGGCGCGTCTAATTTTCGTATTTTGAGAACAAAAGTGGAAATTTGTATGGTATATATGTTGTACTTGATGAATAACAAGCAAAAACACGGAAAGCAAAGGTATTCACAGTTTTTGTTGCACTTTTTGCACGCTTTTGGTCGCTGTAGGCTTTGACCGGTTTGGGTCATTTTCAAATTGTTTCGCAAATTTGTAGGCGGTATCTGCATTTTTACCGTTGTACTACATAGATGGACAGCCGGACATGCAAGGGGTCGTGCAATTATTCGTACAAACTTAACAAGATGTCCTCTAGGAACATCTCTCTTATGCTAACTAAAAAATATATGTGTGTGTAAATTATGGAGTTTTTGATGCGCAGTTGTTGGAGTTGCAAATTGATGAGCGGATTTAGTTTACCCTTAATTTTCGATTTGTTTAACAAAGTTTTGAGAAAGGTCGAGAGTATGTTATGCTGCAACGCTAAAGGAAGCACGATATAATGCTACAAGAAAAAATTTTGGAAATTTAAATTAGACCGAGGAAAGGGTCACCGGCTTTAGGCTAATTATGGATGCACTGGGTTTAAATACAAGCCATGCTTGCTCTTTTCTTAATTGTGACTTTAAAAGATTGTAAATTGTGGACGGACAGGGGGACAGGTCCAGATTGAGTATATGTATAAACACAGCATATGCATAAACACAGTATATGTATAAAACGAGACGTGTTTCTATCGACAATCATCAGGTTTCGGCAAAGAGAGAGATGCAACGCGTTCGTATTAGAACGCACACCTAGCGAGATGCGCAAAATCAATTCTCCCCAACTCGTATATAACTTCTCTCCTCTTTTTTGTTGCATAAGTATAGCTTAGTAACTGTTATGCAATAAAATTACTTGTATGTTTTTATATGTATCTCATACCATAGAACTCCTATTAAAAAGTTTAGCAAAACATGTCCATTCTTCTTATAAAAAAACTTCAGAAAATTTTTATAGTTTTTATCTCTTGTTAATCTTCTCATTTCCCTATAATTAATTTCTCCTTTGTTTTTTTGTTGTTCCTTCTACATCTTTTAATTTCCTTTAATGGCTTCCTCTGCAAGATTTATGCGATTAGCATGATTTTATTGTTTTAATATTTAATTTGTTTATGTATAAATATATGTTTTTTTATATAAATATCTTTTTTTTATGTAAATATAAATAGAATTATTGCTTATTATACAAAAAAAAAAAAGTTCAATATAAATTTTTATATAAATCGTAAGAATTCAATATAAAAAACTCTTTTTTTTTTTTTTTTCTTTTCTTTCTCGGTTTTTGTTGTTGTTGTTGTTGTTGTTCTTGTTATACTTTATATATATTATTAAATAAAGGTACATAGCAATTTTAGATATCGGTATGTTATCTACATTGATTTAATTTTTATTAAATATTGGACAGAAATCAACTTCACAGACTCGAAAAATATATTCACTTTCTATATAAACCGAACATATACTACCTACCTCTTGTTGCTTCTAGGATGTCTCAAAATGAATTGCTTATCAATTTTAGTAAACACGTGTAGCCATTACTTTTAACACAAGGCTGGACGATTACTTTTTGAAGGTTTTTACATTATACCTAACCTCAATGTTAGTATATATCAATACGAGGTTTTTCCGGTACGCGTTGCGAAAAGACA